TAACAGGATCCCCAATCTTTTCCCATATTTTCTGGGTTTTTGCCTTCCCCCCCACTTCCCATATTTTCAAATTTTTCCTAGGGACCGACGATTCATTGTGTCTGTGTGTTTCTTCCCCTCCTGGCAAACATATGAGGACGTCGGGTGTCCGGGGTCCTGTGCCATCCGCAGGCGGGCAGCGCAGGAGGAGACTTCTCTGCTCCGCCCAGACCCGCCAGCTCTCTCAGAGATTCCTGATGTCCTTCGTCTTCTGCTTGTCCCTCTGCTACCGCCCTAGCTTTAGGCCGGGCGTGTCCTCCTGCCGGGGGCTTTTGGACGAACAAGTAAAACATACTTACCCCAAACAAGTTCTAAGACATTGTCAAAAAATGGTTAAACAATCGTCCCCATGCTATTTTGTGACTGTTTTGGATATCTTTCTATAGAGGGACGGGCCCGAAAGCAAGGGAATGGTTTCCTTTCGAAACAGCCAAACCATCCGAGAACCCTCCGGGAAGGGTTCCGGGAGGGTTGTCGGAGGGTTTCGGGACGGTCTTGGAAGGGTTTTCGTCGCTGTGGGAGGGAACCAGTCCCTGGCGAACCCTGGGCTTACCCCAGCTCAGGCTCGTCAGACCTGCTCTCATTCCCACCCCCCAGCCCCCCGCCCCTGGCCCGTCCTCCCTTCGGCCGCTCGGCAACGCGCATGCCTGTGCCTGCCTCAGGCATGGGAGATGGGGCAGCGTGAGGTGGCGGGCGAGTGGGAAGAGGGGCCGGCTGGGGAAGATGTGGAAGCAAGGGGGCTCGGTGGAGCGGGGGGAGCAAGAGGGGGTGCTGGAGAGGGGGAGAGGCGTGTCAGGAGTGGACAAGCACGCATCTGGCGAAGCACGTGCACAGCTGCGGTGCCACGGCGTGTCCCAAAGCATGCTCTGAGACTTCCAGAGCCTTCTGCGAGTCCGCCACTGGGAGCCGTACGCTTTCAGTCGCCCACCACTGTTCAGCATGAACATTCAGTTGTCTTGCGCAACTCCCTGCCACCCCCAGCACGGAACGCTGACGTTGAGTCGCAGCAGTGTAATTGCAACCTAACTCTCGCTTGATCAATCTCTTCACATCCCTGCCGTCCCCTGCTTCCTCAAGGCGCCACAGGAGCACCTGGCTCCCTGCCAATGCCAGAATCGATAGAAATGAACCTTAAATCCGCGCGAACTGCTCAGGTCGGCGCTGGACGCATCCGGCGGCGCTTCCAGCGCTGCCCCTGGTGCGTTTCGCGCGCCACGTTTCGCGAAAAGGGAGATGTCGGCGGTGGACAAACCTCCCTTTAGTAAACCTCCCCTTGGTGAAAACGACCTGGGACCGAATTCGACGGACCTGGACCCGCGGAAATGACGGCCGCGCCGCCCCCTCGCGAACCGAAAACGGCCAATTCACTAATCGACGTGTCAGGGTAGGAGGTCTGTCCACGGAGGAGGAGGAGGAGGCGGAGGAGGAACAGGAGGAGGAGGAGGAGGAGGAGGAGGAGGAGGAGGAGGACCGAACGTTCTGTGGATGCCGCTCCCGGCCACCGACACGCACTCGCCCCTGCTCGCGCTCCGAGCTCCCTCCCACGGGCTGCCTCCGAGGGTGCCACACTTTTGCCGCTGCTCGGCCGTCCATTCCCTGTACGTCTTAGGGCGACGACATCTATACATATCCACTGCTCCCTGGCGAGGCCCATCCTGAACCCAGCAGCTGTGTATACGCTGCGCCCTCCTGGCGTGGCCAGGAGGGCGTATGCACAACTCCTGGGTTCAGGATGGGCCTGGCCAGGGAGCAGTGGATATGTATAGATTTCGTCGCCCGACGTCTTGCGGTGCAACGGGCTTTTTTCGGGCGTTGGCAAAGCTGGGTTTAGTGGAACCTGGTTCAGTGATTTGTAGCGGGGGCGCCCTCCCGTCCCCGTTCCACTGACCGGAACTGCCGTCACCCGAAAAGCGCCAGTTGCGGCGAGCCTGGTTTAGTGACTCTGGCCGATTCAGGGGCTCCGGGGCCCTACCACTGACCGGGTCCCCTTACCCGGGGTCCTGGCCAGATCCGATTTCTGTCTCGCCAAATGATCCGTGATGCTCCAAGATTGTCCTGATTCTCTGGCGCTGGCCTCGCCGGGCAAGATGCACACGTCCGAGCGACGCCAGGAAAGGGCGGCGTCCTATCTCGGATATGGCGCCGCAAGCAAAGCCCGCGAGCAGCACGCCGTCGAGAGCGCCGAGCTCGGCGGTGACGGGGGATGCGTTGACGAAGAGCACGGGCATCGAGATGAGCATCACCTGAATCTGAAGGGGCCCTGGGACACACAAGTAAATCGACACCAATGACAAGACTCCCCATATTTCCTAATATTTTCTGGGTGTTTGTCTTCCCCCACACACTTCCCATATTTCCCCCCCTTTCCGGGGGAATCGATGCTTCATTGTGTCTGTGTTTTTTCCCTCCTAACTGAATCCGCGACTTTTGGCGGCGCGCGCAAGGGGGCAGGGGGGAGGGGGGAAGGCTTCCTAGAAGGAGACTGCTGCTTAGAAGGCGCGGGCCCCACGTCTACAGACGAGGCCCGTGGCTTCGAAGAGGCAGGGGCACTTCTAAGAAGCCTTCCCCCCTCCCCCCTACGGCGGGTTCGTGTCGTGGCGACCCCAGCGTTGGCTTCGGACATCGCGTGGATCGTTCAACCCTGAACGATCGGCGGCTTGTCGATTGCCAGATCGTTTCATATTGGGCCGATTCTGGGCCACTGGCGCTGGCGGCGTTCAACCTTGAACGCCCGCGGCGGGGTCGCGGCGAGTCGACGCGACGCGAACCTGCCGTACCCCCCTGTGCGCGTGGCTGAGCCTGGGCACGACGGAAACTTGGGGGCGGCCTAGAGGGGGGCGTGCAAGAGGGGGGGGCGCAAATCATGGCCAGCGGCACGTGCGCGGCCCAAGGGGGGGGCAGGAACGTAATGAAATAGGAAGAGGCGCCATGAAATCTGGGGAGATATCATGTCCCCCGCCAGGACATCCCCCCCCCCCCCTAACCATCCCCCCCCTCTTTGCCGCCCCCCGAGAAGCGGGCCCTCGCAGCAACACGGGCGCGGCCTGCCCGACCCCCCCCCCTGTGGCTCGACGAGCGCGTTCCACTACTCGCAGAGTGACTACTCGCAAATGGCCTGGATTCCTCGCGGGCCATCTGTGATAAATCATACCAAAGCAGACAAGTGTTTTTCGGAAGTTTGCGAGTAGGCACTTTGCGAGTAGTGGAACGCGCTCGGTGAGTGGCGAGCCCCTCGTCTTTGGGGCGCCACTCTGGCCGCCCGCCCACGTCTTGGAGCCAGGCGCCGGGGGGGGGGGCCGTCGCGGCAGGGGCCGGCTTGCTGGGGGTCGAGCAGGCCGTCCCTGGACAGGCGCGCTCCACTACTCGCAAACCAACTACTCGCAAATTGCCTGGATCCGCCGCGGGGGATTTACGGTATATATATGTATATATATGTATATATATATATATATATATGCATGCGTAGAAGAAGGCATTTTTCCGGACGTTTGCGAGTAGGCAATTTGCGAGTAGTGGAACGCGCTCGGTGAGGAGCCCCTGAGAAGCGGGCTCTGAGCCCCGTGGGCCATCCTGAGGATCAGCTCTTCGCCCCGAGCATGTCGGGAACGCACTGGCCCGGGTCGGTGCACACCCGGGCCAGCCAGGCCTTGCAGGACCCCGCAAGGATCCTGCGCGCCGGCCCGAAGGTCAGTGCACCCCGCGGCGGGAGGACCCGGCGCTCTGGCCGACCCCCGCTTGCATGGATCCCCGTCGCAAGGCTCCCGGAGCTGTCTTCTCGGGAGCGGCCAAGAGGGGGGTGTCCAGGAGGGCGGGGCGCAAATCATGACCGGCAGCACGTGCGCGCGGCCCGGCGGGGGGGCCAGAGGCGTGATGAAAGAAGAAGAGGCGCCCTGAAATCTGGGGAAATATCATGGCCCCCGCCAGGATATCCCCCCCCCCCCTAGTCATCACCCCCCTCTCTTCCGCCCCCGATCTTCCGACGGGGCCGCCGGGGCCCGGGGAGTGCCCCGGGGAGCCCGAGGGCAGGGAAACGCCTCCAGGACCCGCCGGCGCCGCCCTCAGGTCGAGGGCCGAAGGAACTCCCCTCACGGTGGCCACGCCCACAAACACGGGGCCCTGCGGCAATATCGGGGGGACGTAAGACCCAGGTACGGGGGACTCGGAAATTCCCGACGAGGTCGTCAACAAAAATGACGAGGCCGAGCCTGCATTTTGACGAGGCCTCCCGCTGCAGACATCCCACGAAACCCCTCCTCGTCAAAATCCGAGGCGCGGTCGTCAAAAAACGATGGCGAACCCGAGTCCTGGCAAACCCGGGTCTTACGCTCCCCCGGCAGGAAACGCGCCCGGAGAGGAAGAGGGGGCAGCTTTTTCTCGAGCTTGCCGCCGCTCGGACGTCCATTTCCTGTGCCTTTTTTGGTGTCGTGCGCTTTTTTTTGCGCGATGGTCCAGGATGCTCCTCCAGGGTCCTCGCCGGGGACAAAATGCACACGTCCGAGCGATGCCAGGTGCGAGGCGGGGATTTATCCCTGTCCACCGCCTGGAAGCAGAGCCGTCGGACCCCGGGGGGCGATGGGTGTGGATCTGCTGGGGCACCCCGGGGGCCCAAACGCATCCACATCCGCCGCCTTCCGAGCTCCAGGAAGATCGATTCCACGGGCGGTGGATGTGGGTAGGTTCGATGATCCTCAGAGCTGAAGGGCCCCACAAGCACACAAACAAATACACACAAATCCCAGGATTTCCGAATTTGGCCAATATTTTCTGGGTTTCTCTCTCCGCCCCCACTTCCCATATTTCCCCACATGTATTTCCCTGGATCATCGACGATTGCTTGCGTGTGCGCTTCTTCCCCTCCCGGGTAGCTTCCACGATCCTCAGAGCGTGTGTTGGCGCCAACGGGTGCTTGTCCACCGAAGCCCTCCGGCACGACGCAGACGGTGTGGTGAGAGACGACGTGCGCTGCGTGCCGCCGGCGGAGCGAAACTGGGGGCGAGTCGCTTCTCGGCAGCAGCGAGAGGCGAGAGCCCTCGCCGCCTCTGCAGGCAAGCGTGGGGCGGAGCGCGGCCGGATGGGGCACAGGAGGCGCCAGGAAGGGAAGGAGCGCGCGGGAAGGAGCGGGGCAAGTCGGCAGGTTCAGGGCGTGAAGCGAGGGAAACCCGCACAATGGGCTAACGCACGTCCTTGGCATCGTCGGTAGATCCCAGCCTCGGACTTGTCCTCCCTCGACGAGGGCCCCTTTCCCTCGACGAGGACCCTTCGACGAGGACCCCTCTCCCCCTCGAGGAGAACCCCTTTCCTCACCTCCTCTCCCTCGACGCGGGCCCATCTCCTCCCTCAGCGAGGGCCCCTTTCCCCGAAAACGGGACCGTCAAAAACCATGACGCACTCGTCGAAAAAAGGTCGGCAAACCCGAGTTCCGGCTTACTCGAGTCTTACGTTTCCCCGATCCATTGCTGTGCCTGTTTTTCCACCACCGCCACCATAAGTTGGAGGGGGGAAGTAGGTGGACGATTAGGAGTAGGAGGAGGAGGAGGAGGAGGAGGAGGAGGAGGAGGAGGAGGAGGAGGAGGAGGAGGAGGAGGAGGAGGAGTATTAGGAGGAGGAGGCAGGGGAGGATGGAGGAGGAGGAGGAGGAAGGAGCAGGAGGAGGAGGAGGAGGAGGAGGAGAGGAGGAGGAGGAGGAGGAGGGAGGACGAAGAGGAGGAGGAGGAGGATGAGGAGGAGGAGGAGGAGGAGGAGGAGAGGAGGAGAGAGGGAGGAGGAAGGAGGAGGAGGGAGGAGGAGGAGGAGGAGGAGGAGGAGGGGAGGAGGGGAGGCGAGAGGAGGAGGAGGAGGAGGAGGCGGAGAGGAGGAGGCAGGAGGAGAGGAGAGGAGGAGGGGAGAGGAGGAGGAGGAGAGGAGGAGGAGGACGGAGGATGAAGAGGAGTCCCCCCCTCCCTCCACGACGCGAGCGGCGCCTGCGTTCCGCTTGCCACAGCCCGCCCTGCAGCAGCAGAGCAGGCAGGCCCCCGCCCCCGCGCCCCTGCTCGTTGCCCCCCTCGCATCCCGAGATCGCCTCGAGCTCAGTGCCCGTTTCGGGTTGTTTTCGAGCCCTCGGACCCCTCCTCCTCACTCCTCCATTCTCCCTCCCCTCCTCCTGCTTTTCCATCCTCCTCCTCCTCCTCCTCCTCCTCCTCCCAATGCCCGTTTCGGGTGTTTTCGGGCCCCTCGGACCTCCTCCTCCTCCTCCTGCTCCTCCTCGCCAAGGGCGGCCCCAGAAGGCCCCAAGAGACGGCTTTGAGGACTCTTGGTGGGGGGGGCGTAGACAAGGGCCCCCTCCATGGCCTCCAAGGGAAAGATGGCCATAAGAGACCCTCCAGGGCTCCCAAGAGGCCCTCAAGAGGGCTCCAAGAGGGCCCCAAGAACCCTTAAACGAGCCCAAAGGAGGCCCCCAAAGGGCCCCGAGAGAGCCCCAAGAGGCTCCACTGGGCTCGTGCGGATACGCGAAGCATTAATAATTCGGGTGTTTCGGGCTCCTTTTTTTTGCCTCCTCCCGGCCTCGTTCTGAGGCTGCGCCCCCCTTTTCCTTCCCCATCTCTGGTTAATTCAAGCTTCGCGCGGCCCGCTCAGCTTCGACCGGAAGGGGTGCGCTCTCGACCCGCGAATCAAAAAAAAGTGCTTCGGGCTCCGCTCTCCTCCTCCGCCTCCATCCCGCTCCTCATGGGCAACTCCTCCCTGTCGCGCCCCCGGACGTGTCGGCAGGGCGGGCCTGGCGTTTCGCCTGAGTCGTCTCCACCACTCACGCGCACAGTTGTCGTAAACCATGATGGCCGCGAACCGAACCGAGAACAGAGAACCGGCCCCCGAACCGAACCAGCCGAACCGGACCGGTCCTCGACCCGAACCGGCCGAACCAGACCGCGCCAGCCTCTGACCCGAACCGGCCGGACCGAACCGGCCCGACGAACCGAACCGGCCGAACCGGACCGGCCGCGACTTCGGCCCAAGCGTTTACTAAACGCTTGGGCTTCATTTCAAGGGTGGGAAGGGTTGTTTCCAACATGGGGCTCTCGCTGGAGCACCGCGCACGCTATTCTTAAACGTTGCAGCGGCTACAGGAGTGGCGAGGGGGGATGTCGCCCTGGCGCCGCGCACATTTGTCCGAGACGCTCGCAACAACTTCTGGACATAGTGCCGTGCACGTTCATCTTCAAAAGGCTGCAGCAGTTACGAGGACAAAGGACGGTTCCTCTTCGTGGTGGGGCGCTCACTAGGGATTTCTTCGAATCCCGTGACCAGCCGTGCAAGCCTGTGCAGCTGTTACACAGACGGGGGCGGGCCTGTTGTCAAGCGGGAGCCTCGCTGGACACCTCGCGGAGCTGCACTTGCCATCGCTCGGACGTCCATTTCCTGTGCACTTTTCGGCGCCGTGCGTGTTTTTTTTTTTTTGCTCGATGGTCCAGGATGCTCCTCGATGGTCCTCGCCGAGAAAAAATGCACACGTCCGAGCGATGCCAGGTGTATGCTCATATCTTTTTGAGTGCCTTCCTACTCGCTGACCGGACGCACAGCACGGCCTGTTCAGGGAAAGGCTCCCGCCTGAACGGCAGTCCCCAAAGGGTGCAGGCCTTTCGGGGGGGCGCCTCTTGCAGCGGCAGGGAGGGCCTGCACGGACCTATGGGGAGGGGACTTTGGGCGGGAGGGTGACTTGTAACATCGTTGATGCACCTTGGGTCTACTCTGGTCCTCCTCCTTCTCCTCCTCCTCCTCTCTCCCTCCCTCCCTCCCTCCCTCCCTCCCTCCCTCCCTCCGTCCCTCCCTCCTACTCCTTATTCCTCATCCTCTCTAGCATCGAATCCGATCTGCCGCGCCAGCATGCACAACGACGCCGCTGGACTCTCGGAACCGAGTCGGATCGGGCCGGCCGAGGTCGACATCGACATCGACATCGGATCGAAAAATGGACCTGGGTAGTGAAGCAGGGGGTTCGCGCATCATGGTGCAAGGACTGTGCGCGGACGAGGGGGGGGCAGGGAACGTATTGAAAGAAGACAGGGGAACCACACATGAATCATACACAAAAACCAATTACCCGAGACGTACCCACTCTCCTCTGGACGGGAGGTGACTACTTCTTAAACGCTGCATGATCTCTGAAGAGCCTCACCTCCGCCGTGCCTCCCAGGAGCCCACGAACGTGGCGACAAGTGCGCAGTTCGCAGCCCCCGAGAGAGCCGCGAGGTCTCAAGTGGACCTGCGATGCCCTCACCTCCGCCGTGCCTCCCAGGAGCCCACGACAGTGGCGACATTTGCGCGGTTCGCAGCCTCCCAGGGAGCAGCGCAGGAGGAGGCAGGAGGAGGGGGGAGGAGAAGGATAAGGAGTGGATACCACAGTGCTCTGGTCAAAACGAAAACCCAACACAGGAGGGTTGGGAATGATGCAGGCGGTAGACGGCATAGGAAAAGGGAGGCGGGACGAAGTGGGGACCACAGTGCTCTACTCACAGCGAAAACCCAACACACAGGAGGGTTGGGATCAATAGGAATGATACTGATCCTAGTCGTAAGCATAAGCAAAAGGATGCTGAGCAACAGCACGAATAAACATCGCAACAATAATCGCAACGACAACGTGCCCGCTCGCCCGCGTCAGAAAAACACACACACACATGTCACATGCCCGCCTCTGGTGTGGATCGCAAGTTCCCCGCGGTGGATCCAGGCCTTTTGCGAGCAGAAGAACACACACGTCCGCCCAAATGGGCAATTATGGATCGCAAATTCCCCGCGGCGGATCCCGGCACATCATCGCAGCAAGAAGCAGGGGCTACGACATCTGCAAGATGTCGTGGCCCCAGCCATCGCACCCGCGTGCGCCCCCGATCCCCGCAGCTTCGACATCTGCAAGGAGGAGGAGGAGGAGGAGGTGGAGGAGGTGGAGGAGGAGGAGGAGGAGGAGAAGGAAAGGAGGAGGAGGAGGGGAGGAGGAGGAGTGGAGAAGGGGAGGAGGAGGAGGAGGGGAGGAGGGAGGAGGAGGGGGGAGGAGGAGAGGAGTGGAGGAGGAGGAGGAGGACGGAGAGGAGGGAGGCGGAGGAGGAGGAGGAGGGAGGAGGTGGAGGAGGAGGAGGAGGAGGAGGAGGAGGAGGAGAGAGAAGAAAAGGAGGAGATGAGTGGATGAGGAGGAGGGGGAGGAAGGAGGAGGAGGTAGGAGGAGGGAGGAGGAGGAGGAGGAGGAGGAGGAAGGAGGAGGAGGAGGTGGAGGGAGGTGGAGGAGGAGGAGGAGGAGGAGGAGGAGGAGGAGGAGGAGGAAGAGCCCCAGCCGCCGCTCCCCGCCCCCGCCGCTCCACCCCCGCCCGCGGAGAGACCCTGGCCGAGCTCGCCGGCCTGCCCCTCCCAGGGGGGGGGGGCGGGGCGGGGCGCCGCCTCCTCGGGGCCCCCCGGCGCTCGCTCCCGCCCCGTGGGGGCCGGGGGCACCGCCCTGCCCCCGTGGTGGCTCTGACGACGACGACGGCCCTTCCTTCTCCCGCCCCAAGGCTTCCCGTGGTGGCTCTGACGACGACGACGAGACCTGGCCCCGCCCCTTCCTGCTCCCGCCCCAAGGCTTCCCCCGCCCGGCCCCGCCCCCCGCCGCCCCCTCCCCTCCCCCTGTCCCTCCCCTCCCCCCCCCCGCCCTCTGCCATCGCTCGGACGCCCGTTCCCTGTGCTTTTTTCGGCTTCGTGCGTGGCTTCTTCGCCACATGATCGAGGATGCTCTTCGAGGGCCCTCGCCGGAGGCACAGTGCACACGTCCGAGCGATGCCAAGCCCTCGCCCCGCTCCCAACTTCCGCAGCCTCCCCCGGGAGCCTCCCCCAGCCTCCCCCCACGAGCAGCCCGCGCGAGCCCCCCCCCCTCGGCCGCCTGCTCCCGCGGGGCGCCGCCCCGCGGGAAGCCTCTCCTCGTCGCGGGCGCCCCTCGACGAGCAGCCCTCGCTCTCCCCGCCTTCCCCTCCCCCCCGGCGCGGAGGGGGCCCTCCGCCCAGGCCCGCCAGGACGCCTCCTCCTGCCGCCCTCCGCCTTCGCGCGGCCCCGCCCGCCCGCACCGGGCCGCGCCCACATCCACGTTTTGCCTCCCTTCCGGCCTCAGGTCCAGCGTGCCCCCCTGCAGGCGGATTTGGGGACGGAAGAAGTGCAAAATGCTCAAACAGTGCCCCCAAATAGTCAAGCAAAACTCAAAACATAGTCCCCAGATTTTTTTTTTTTTTTTTTTTTTTTTGTTTTGTTAAAAACCATTTTTGGGTATTCCTCCTGCAGAGGGACACGCCCGACCGAATTCCAGCTCTCGCGCTCTCCATCCTCGAGTGCGGCGACCCGGCGAGTCCACCGTCGACTTTGTTGCCCTCCAGCCCTCGCGCGTGTCAGGGGGGACGACAAGGGGGGGGGGGGCCCCGGCCCAGGGGGAGCGTCGACCTGGAGTCGGCGGTGCGTCGCCGACGGATCGGCGATAGGCCCCCGATAGTGAGTCGGCAAGTTCCTGGGCGGGCTGGGCGATCAGGCCCCACTCGGGGATGAATGGGCGATTGGGGGTCAATACGCTCCCGCGCTCCCCCCATGAGCTTCTTCCCCCTCCTGAATCTCCTTAGCGTTGCCCATGAATGTTCGCTTTTTCGAGGAATGGAGGCCTGAGACATCGGGCCCTCGGGCGATGAGCTCCTATCCCCACTGACCCATTCCCAACGGCCCCATCTTATCTTCGGACCCACGGGATGTGGCTCATGCAGGGACTCAGCGCACCAGGACAGCCAGCGAACCCATTATTCCCCCTGCTCAGAAGGCTCTTACCAGAAGAGGACGACAACATCTCCTCCTCCAGGTCCAGCTCTGCCCTGCCACCCGCTGGCGCGCGTGCCTCCTCTGAACATGCACTGGCTTTTCTACGAGGAAGAACATCTGCATAAACATAAACTTTCGGAGGTCCATGCGGATTTCTTGGACCTGCGCGGATACCCACTCCCTGGCGCGCGGAGCACGCCAGCGGCGGCGCCGCCAAGGGGGTCCAGCGCACATCCAAGAAATCCGCGAGGAACTCCAACAACTTGTATTCATGCGACTTTTTCCTCTTCCGTTCCAACTCCGGGAGGTCGCGTCACCCACACGCCCTGGACCACCCAGAAGGTCAAGAACTTGCCGAACTTGTCCTTGACCCCGTCGAACCTGGAGTCGCCGCCTGCCGGCAGCAGAGAGGACAGACGTGACCCTGCTGGCCTCGATTCTCTGCGGCAGGCTCGCTTCGGGCCGACTTCGGCGTTGGTTCCTGCCACCGCGGGGATCGCTCAACCTTGAACGATTGGCTGTCTCCGAAACGTCAAATCGTTTTTCCCAACCATCCTGTGGTGTTGGGTCCTCGTTTTGAAGAGACGTCGCCCCGCGTTCCTCCTCTCCTCTCCTCCTCCTCCCCTCCCTCCTCCTTCTTCCATACTTTTTACCCACCCAGCACAGCGTTTCGTGGCCCCATAGGAGGCTCCACCGAAGCCCCCAGTGGGACCGCCCGCATGCGCCTCCCACACCCAACTTGGCATTGTCACCCACCCACTACAGCGCTTCGTGGCCCCCATAGGGAGCTCCACCGAAGCCCCCACACTGGGACAGTCCTCGGAACTCTGCCCCCCAGGAGAGGACAGGCTATGACACAAAACGAGCGTTCCGCTGCACACGTCCTCAACCACTTCTGCAACCAAAAGCGCGTTTCCCTCGGAAGATCCTGACATGTTCGACCTCGTTATCGACCTCGACCTGCTCGACCTCGTTATCGACCTCCTCCTCCTCCTCCTCCTCCTCCTCCCCCTCCTCCTCCTCCTCTTCCTCCTCCTTCTCCTCCTCCTCCTCCTCCTCCTCCTCCTCTGGGCCCTGCTCGACCTCGCTATCCATCGGCCAACCGGCATATCGCTGTCCCACCGGGGCTGGTCGGGTCGCAGCGGGCTTTCTTTTGGGCGCCAACACGGGGGCGGAGAGAGCGGGTTGGGCGGCGTGCAGGCCGACGGCAAGACGGAGTCGGCCCACGCAGGAGGAGGAGGAGGAGGAGGAGGAGGAGGAGGAGGAGGAGGAGGAGGAGGAGGAGGAGGAGGAGGAGGCGGAGGCGGAGGCGGAGGAGGAGGAGGAGGAGGAGGAGGAGGAGGAGGAGGCGGAGGAAAAGGAGGGGGAGGAGGGGGAGGAGGAGGAGGAGGACCAGCCGTTCGGGCATCCCTACGGGCCTACCACGACGTGTTCTTAGAGCCAGAGGCCTGCCGTTGCTCGGACGTCCATGCCCCGTACCTTTTTCGGGTATGGACAGACCCCCCTTTAGTAAAACGTGGTTTAGTGAAAACGACCTGAGGCCCAAACCTGGCAGGCGCAAGCCTGGAAAATAACGACCACGGCGCCCTCTCGAGAGCCGAAAACGGACAATTCACTAATCGACGTGTCACTGTTGGGGGTTCTGTCCACCCCCGAATTTTTCGATGTCGTGCATTGTATGGTTTCGCCAGGTGATCCGAGATACTCTAAGACGGTTCCGATTTCCTGGCCCTGTCCTCGACGAGCAGACATGCGCGCGTCCGAGCGGCGCCAAGCAGAACCTCATCTCGGAGGAAGATCAGTGCTCGCAGAACTGAGGCCGACGTCTCAAGGCAAGACTGCCTCAGCCAGACACGTTGTCAGAACACGTCGCGCAAACCACAATGGGTTACCATCATCTGTCCAGAAGACCAGTTTGCACGACCAGAACGCTTTGTCGCTGCTTGACTGCTTGATGAGGGAGAACGTCAAGGGAGTAACGGCTCAGGTGGGGAAGCATCGGCCTGGAGATCGGCGATACATCGCCGATAGATCGGAGACAAGCCTTCGGTTGCAAATCAGCACGGTCCTGGGCGGGGCAGGCTATCGGCAACGAATGGGCGATTGGGGGCCGATGCATAGAGGCCTCCTGGATGGGGTGCGAGTAGATGGGGTCGGAGGATCTCGCCGCATCGCCGATACATCGGCGGTGCATCGCCGATGCATCGGCGACGTCGGCGTGGCAAAAAAGGGGGCCCCTCATCGGGCTGCACCGGCGATGCATCGCCGATGCATCGGCGATGCGGCACGATCCTCCGACCCCATCTACTCCGACCCATATAGGAGGCCTAGTATGCGTCCCCCCCTGAATCCAAACCCCCCTAACGCCTAATGCTGCACCTGGCAATGTTCCGGCCACAACTCGGGCCTCCGGCGGCCCTTCGGAGCGATCGGGGCACCCCCGGAACGCCCTCGGGGAGGCGCAGCTGCTGGAGAGCATCCCGAGGCCGGAAAAATCGCCGAGAAGCAATGACAGCACCCAAAAACCTGGAACTCTGCAGTTCGAAGGGCCGCGATCCCCCCTGTAGTCATTAAAAATCCAGTTGGATGCCCCTGACGCCCCTAGAAAGTAGATCTTTATCCATATCCACTGGGCCTCGTCTTTTGGCGCCCCTTCCCAGAACAAGTCCAATATGAAGTGTATAATCTATGAATGCATATTCTTATGTACACATAAATGTATGGACATACACATCTATCTATCTATATATATATGCATATATACATGTATGGACAGCCCCCCAACACCCATTCTTACAAGCATTCACTTACGACAGTGGTGCTCTGCCATTCCCCCTTCTCCTCCTTGTCTTTCTTTCTCTCTCCCTCTCTCTCTTTTCTCTCTCTCTCTCTCTGCCTCTCTCTCTCTCCATCTGTGTCTCTCTATCTGCCTCTCTTTTTTTCTCTCCTTCTCTCTCTCTCTCTCACTCTCTCTCTCTCTATTTTGTGTTTCCTCTCTCTCTCTCTTTTTTTTTCTCTTTATCCCAGACACTCAACACCATCTCTTTGAAAATACCATGTTTGCGATGTCAGTGGTGCGGGAACGTTGTGTTTTCATTTGGATTTCTGGATTTTTGGGACGAGAAGTAAGGAAGCCATGCGTTTTCATTTGACTGTTTTTTGGATGTTGGGGATTTTCCTCCCTCCAGCGAAAATCTAACCTAGGAGCCCACCCAGGAGCTCCGATCCCCAGATTCCCAAACATCAAACACATCCAAATGAAACCACGTGGCTTCCTCACTTCTCGTCCCACAAACATCCCAGAAACATCCCAATAGGAACAAAAGGTTTGCGATGCCAGGGGTGTGGAAACCCAGCGTTTCCATGCTCGATTTTTGGGATTCCTAAGATCTGGAGTGAGGAAACCATGCGTTTTCATGGGGACGTTTGGGATTTCCCTCCCTCCGGCGGACATTCAACCAAAGAGCCCTCCCAGGGCTCCGCACCTCTGACATCGCAAACCCCATGTTTTTATTGTAGTGGCCTCCAGCCGGTGCCGCCGATCCGGGGCGCTCCTGATGCTACTGTTGTTGAAATGGACGATGACGACGATAACGGACGACCAATGGTCGACGAGCGGGATAATTACGACGACGACTGACGAAGGAGTTAATGACGACGAACCGACGACGACGACGACCCAGTGTTTTCACTTTTTACGTTTGGCACCCCTGGGATGAGAAGTCAGGAAGCCACGTGCTTGCATTCGGATGAATACGGATTTTGTGAACGAGGGAGAGAGAGAGAGAGAGAGCACACATAGTAAACCGATATATATATATATATATATATATATATGTATATATAGAGAGAGAGAGAGAGATAGAAAGAGAGAGAGAGAGAGAGAGAGAGAGAGAGAAAAGAGAGAGAGAGAGAGATAAAAAAAAGAAGAAAAACAACAAGAGAAATAGAGTCTAGAGAGAAAGAGAGAGAGAGAGAGAGAAAGAAAAAGAGAAAGAGAGACAAGAGAGAGAGAGAGGCAAATTCCAGATCCGGCTGATGACAACTCGATCCCGATTGGAACACAGTTGAACTCTCACTGGGTGGAGCGGAACCCAGATCCAGCTGATTCCAACCAGATTCCAACAGGAACCCCATGAACCCCAATGACAATGGACCAGATCCCAGTCACAGCTGATTCAGAATGGATTCCTATGGGAATCTGTTCAGAATCGAATTGGAATGGTGTAGATCCCAGACCCAACTGATTCCAACTAGGTTCCGATTGAAACGTCATTCGATTCGAACTAGAATTGAGCAGATCCCAGATCAAGCTGATTCCAAACAGATAGTGGGACATGGCTAGAATTCACTTGGGATGGAGCAGATCCCAGGTCCAGGTGATTCAAATTAGATCCCTCCGACTGTAATCTACTTGACATCTAATTGACATAGGGAAGATATCCAGCTGATTCTACTTCGATTCCTTTTGGGATTCATTTAGAACTTAAGTGGGATTGTGCACATCCCAGGTCCAGCTGAGTCCAAGTAGGATTCCGATTGGAATCGAATTATAATCTAAGTGGAAGTTAGCAGACCACAGGTCCAGCTGATTACACATATATTCCGGTTTAACTGGGGTTATAATCTAGTTGGAATTGAGCAGATTCCAAACCCAACTGATTACACTTCGATTCCTATTGGAACCGAGCTATAATGTAAGTGTAATGGAGCAGATCCCATATACAGCTGTTTACAAGTGGATTCCTATTGGGATCCAATTAGCGTCTAATTCGAATTGGACAGGTCACACACCCAGCTGATTCCAGTTGAATTCCGACGGGAATCTAGGTATAACATCTGCTTGGAACTGTGCAGATCCCAGATCCAGCTGGTTCCAATTGTATTCCTATTGGAATTTCAATCGAATCTAAATGGAATTGGGCGGATCCCAGATCCAGCTGTGTCCAATTTGATTCCTATTAAGATCTAGTTAGAATCTAAGGAGAGTTCACCAGATCCCAAGTGCAGCCGATTCCAATTAGACCCCATCACGAGAACACAGCGGAGAAATGACGAACAGGAAAGATGGATGGGCAGGCATGGATGAAGCGAAGGCGGATGATCAGTAAGAGTACGAATGAAGAGCTCAAAGACCGACGCCAACTGAATGGGTGCTGGGGGTTGGGGTGGGGGGGGGGGAGTATATATATATATATATATGTGTGCGTATATATAATGTTTCTATATGTGTATACACACATGAATATCGGGGGCCGAGACATTCCCCCCTGAGCCGAATATGCCCCTCCCCAAAGCTGCCCCTGGCTTGAGCACTGCGCCGGGGCGCCCCGCGTCGGGGGCGAGCCCGCCTCGCTCGTGCGCACGCCACGCGAGGAAGATCAGCAGCCAGAGGCGCGAGAGCACGAAGAGGACGGTGACGACCACCTCCGAGGGGAGCTGCAGAGAAGCACACGGCCACGATAATGACGATGATGCCGATGATGACGACGGTGACAACGACGACACCGACGACCGACTACGACGACTACGATGACGACGAAAACGACGACGACGCCGACGTTGACGACACCGGCACACCGGCGACCGACGACGACGACGACGACACCGACGAAGAAGACGGCGAAGACGACGAAAACGACGACGACGACCACGACGACGACGACACCGGTGACGACACCGACGACAGACGACCGACGACGATGATGACAACGACGACGATGACGACGAAGACGACGAAGACGACGACGAAGGCGACGACGACACCGACGACGACGACACCGATGACGACGACTACACCGACGACCGACGACGACAAACGGCCGACGACGACGAGAACGACGAAGATGACGATGACGACGAAGGCGACGAAGACGACAACGACAGCGACGATTCCGACGACGGACGACGACGACGACTGCGAATATGACGACGTAGGCGACGAAGAAGGCGACGAATACGACGACGCCGACGACACCGACGATCGACGACGACGAAGACGACGAAGAAAATGACGAAGACGACGAAGAAGACGAAGTCGACGACGACGACACCAACGACGACGACGACACCGACGACCGACGACGACGACGACCACGACGAAGAAGACCGACGATGACGACGAAGACCAAGAAGAGGAAGACGAAGCCGACGACGACAACGATGACGACGACACCGACGACCGACGACGACGAAGACGACGTTGATGACGACGAAGAAGACGATGGCGACGAAGACGTTGAAGACGACGACTGACCAAGAACACGACGACGACCAACAAGACGACGAAGATGACGAAGACGACATCAACGACGACGACGACGACCTACGACGACGACGACGATGGCGACGACGACGACACCGACACCGACGACCGACAACGACAACGACGACGACGACGACGACTACCGGGCGTCAGGCGCGCGGGCGCCCGGTGAGGAGGGCGAGAGTGGTCAGCACTGCCATTCGGCGAGTTGTCGACTCGAGTCGTGAGAGAGCTCGAGCTTCAGGTGAGCGACGAGGAGAAAAATGCCTTACGTGAGATGACACAGCGACCTTACACGGTGGCTTACGCGGGCCACCAACGCGGCACGCTGCGTTGGAGACGATGGCGCCTTCGCGCCCTCTTGCGCAGGTAGCTTGCGCGCGAATATCGGCGCAGTCGAACCAGCTTTTCTGCGTGGCTCAGTTGGGTTCCTCAAGAGCTCACGGGCCAGCGACGACTCATACACTTACGTACCGTCGCCTGTGGAAAAATATCATGCGTCCATCATGTCCGGTGGCGGCCACCTCCGAGGGGAGCTGCAGAGGAGAGCAAGAGCGGTCACCATCGGACCTACGACTCGGAACGGGCATGGAGCCAACCCACGTCGGCACGCACGGCATCGGAATCGACTCGCCCGAGCCAGGATGCACAGCAGCGCTATGCAAACATCGGGCCGCATCGGATCTCGTCGGAATACCTGGATCGAATCGGATCGGGCCGGCTCAAAGCGACATCGAATCGGTCCGTTCGGCGTGTCGCCGCGGCGCCCCCTGCGACGCGCTATGCCTTGCAGGCTAGTAGCGTATGCGACGAAAAGCCTGAGGCCTTGGCGGCACGCACGAGGAGGTGGCGCTAGGGGCGCGGCCTTCGAAGAGGGCGGCGCGCTTCTTGGAAGCCAGATGTCTTCTCGGAAGGGCCTGGAGGCTCCTGAGAAGGCTTCTGAGACGGCGGGAGGGATTCTAAGACGGCCCCTGACTTCTTAGAAGCTCCCCCGCCTTCTTAGAAGGCCGCCACCCTCGCGCCACCGCCGTTGTGCGCTCTGCCAGAGGACACCTTCTCCCTCGAGACCCCGTTCCTTCCTGGCGACTGCTGCTCCGAGCAGGCCTGTCGAATACACCCACCGGCCCATTCCTCACGCCTCGCCTCTTTCCGAGTGCCCGCGGGAGATGAAAGGAGGGCAACAATCCACCCCCATACTAGCCACTCCGACACGCGAAGCCGTGTACTACACGCCCCCAATGAAGGAATCGAACAAGGCAGGGCTGTTTAGTAAACGCCCACAGCCGTTTAGTACACGCAACTTGTCTGGGCCGGGTGGTGTTTTCCTCCCTCGATGGAGGGAGAGGGCAAGACCCTCTGAGCTCCTGGCGTTGCATTCTCTTCACAACGGGCGTTCTCGCCTGGCTCCGGGCCCCCCCGGCCCTGGAAGAAGGGCGCAGGAAGATGGGGTCCAGGGCTCCGGTGGTGCTTCTTCGAGATGCTGCAGCTTCTTCGCAACGTCGCATCTCAAGGTATCGGGACGTCGGATGGAATTGGAATTTCGAACGTGCGTCGGGTCGAACAGCGCCGTGCAGAGTCGGGCCGCCTCGGGTCGCCCAAAGGTCTGAAGCGAGCGGGAGCGAGCTGGCCGATCTCCAGAACTGACTGCCTACCAGACCACCCCAACCCAACCCGAAGAACCGAATTTCGGGTTGGGGGGGGTACGGGTTCCATACGTGTTTTCTCAATGGTCCCCGACCCCCCCCCCACTGGAAATGGAGAGCAAATTGAGACCTTCGGGTTGGGTTGGGGTGGTTTGGTGGGTGGTGAAGAACAACAGCACGGACCACCGCCAACGAGAACCCCCCGGGGGGGAACCGCCCCTGGGCGGTGGCACGCCGGAGCGCCGTGCAGGACCGGGTGGTGCTCGCGGGTGCCGCCGCTCCATGGTCGCCCCCCTCCGCCCCCGACGGCTTCTGGGTGGCGGTGGTGGTCTCGGTCTCTCATCTGAGAGGCCGACCTCGAACTATATCTTCGATCGGATCGATACCCAATCGGATCGATCGGATCGAAACAGAAGGCTCCCACCTTCGCGCTTCGCGCTGCGCGAAGCGCGACTAACCTCGCGCTCTCGCGCCGCCTCCCATGGGAGAAGAGGAGGATGAGGAGGAATCGGAGCCGAACCGCGAAGCGCGAATGACTTCGCGCCCTCGAGGGCGCCCTTGGAAAGGGGGGGCGCTGGGCTGGTGGGCGCAAAGGAGGTTCCCCCCTCTGGTGTTCCGTCGCCGCCTCCGCGCCACGGCGGCCGCCCCATCCTTCCTCGCCCGCCTCTTTTCCGCGCCGTTCCGCCGCCTGCTCCTCCTCCTCCTCCTCCTCCTCCTCCTCCTCCTCCTCCTCCTCCTCCTCCTCCTCCTCCTCCTCCTCCTCCTCCCCCTCCCCTCCCCTCCCCCTCCTCCTCCTCCTCCCCCTCCCCCTCCCCTCCTCCTCCTCCTCCTCCTCCTCCTCCTCCTCCTCCTCTTCCTCCCCCCTCCTCCTCCTCCTCCTCCCCCTCCTCCTCCGCCTCCCCCTCCCCCTCCTCCTCCTCCTCCTCCTCCACCTCCTCCTCCTCCTCCTCCTCCTCCTCCTCCTCCTCCTCCTCCTCCTCCTCCTCCTCCTCCTCCTCCTCCTCCTCCCCCTCCCCCTCCCCCTCTCCTCCCTCCCCTCCCCTCCCCCGTCCTCCTCCTCCTCCTCCTCCTCCTCCTCCTCCTCCTCCTCCTCCTTCCCTCTCCTCCCCTCCTCCTCCCCTCCTCCGCCTCCTCCTCACTACCCTCGCCACTCAGAGCAAATCCGCTCGGAAAGCAGAAGACAATGCGCATGAAAGCTACTCCGCGCGCCTCAGAGCAAATACCCAACCTATCTGCACCTTTAAGACAAGGAAGCCGGATAGCTGGACGATGCGGAAGGAAAACAGACAACGGTCCCGCTCTAATGCCTTCCCCTAGATGCAACCACGCGCGTCAAGGCCGTGACCGGGAAGCGGAACCACATTGACATATCCAACTCGTACACGAAGCTGACACTCCACCACAGACAATCCGCTGCAGCCGAAGCCCTGATCAGGAGGTGTGGAGCTACATTCGCATACCCTTGCCCCCCAGCGTGCACCTGACGCCGGGGGCAACTCCCCGCCTGCCATCGCCCTGCCGCGAGGACCAGGGGCCGAGCTCCGCACCTTCCTCGAAAGGCGCTCGAGCCCAAGCTTGAGCCAAAATGGCTACGCCACCTCTCCTCCTCCTCCTCCTCCTCCTCCTCCTCCTCCTTTTCCTCCTCCTCCTCCTCTTTTTCCTCCTCCTCCTCCTCCTCCTCCTCCTCCTCCTCCTCCTCTTCCTCTCCCTCCTCCTCCTCCTCCTCCTCCTCCTCCTCCTCCTCCTGCTCCGCCTCCTCCCCCTCCTCCTCCCCTCCCTCCTCCGTCCTCCCTGGGCAAAACCACCTCCTCCTCTCCCTCCTCCCGCTCCCCTCCTCCCTCCTCCACCTGCCCTCCCTCCCTCCCACCTCTCGGCGGAAAGCCGATGGAGACAACGGCGGCTCTCCCGCGCAACCCACGTCACGCTCGAAATCAGTCCCCGCACCCCTCCCAGGGGCCGTCGGGGAGGTCCGCCGTTCTCTTGACGGGCCCTTCTCGTGGGCCGGCCGTGGACTGGCACGCGACTGACAAGATGGGTACGATGCCCAACAGCAAGTGCCGTCCCTAACCGCCAGCGGCCACTCTTGCGCAGGCAACCGGGTCAGGACAGGTGAGCCTTGCACCAAGCGGTACGTGCGCAGGGTGAGACTCAAGATGCGGCCTGGCGGTTGGATGCCTTCAGCATCCAGGCCTGCCTTTGACGGCCTGCTCCCACGCGCGAGCTGCACCGCCCTCTGGGCGGAAGTCGGCAGCAACTGCGCAGGCAACCCTTCGCCTGATATCAACAGCACGTCTGGGGCGACAACGACATATCGAGGGCTGTTCTCACCGTGGGCAGCCGCTGCTGACGGCCTCCGTCCCCGCTCGTTCTGCACCCGGTCCGATCGTGCCGAGGGGACCTCTGCGCATGCCTCCCAAGCAGCCTCTTGACCCGCATGGGGGAGGGGGAAAAGGAAGGGGGAAGAGGAGGGCGAGGAGGAGGAGAGGAGGACAGGACATGACATGGCATCCGCATGCGGGGGTCAACGTCAACACACCTAGGCTGGTGCCTTGCCCGCGTCTGCAAAATCCCCTGTGAATTTGGTTGTGAAGCAGCCCTGACTTCTCATTAGGGCCGGCAGGGGGCATACCCCGAAGCTTCAAAGAGTGAGCTCCGAGGTGGCCCAGTAAGAGAAGCTCGCTGCCTTGTGAATACGAGTCCCTCCGCGTACCCTGGGAATGGGGACGAGGAAGAGGATGAGGAGGAGAAGAGGAGAGGACGGAGGACGGAGCGGGAAGATCGGGTGTGTGAACAGAACTTTCTCTCGTAAACCGCTCTTTAGTGAGAGCTGCCAAGGGGCACTTCGCGTGCGCGCGGCACCGCAGTCCGAGTGCACGCCAGCAGGGTAGCTGATCAACGCCCCAAAACAACCGAACATATCCAGCGAAAAACGCACCTCGATTAGCGAAACCGACTAGGGACTGGCTCGTGTCGTGCCGACTTCAGCGTTGGTTTCTGACACCGCGGGGACTCTTCGACATCGAACGATCGGCCGTTTCCTAAACGTCAGATCGTTCAACATCGACCGATTCTGGGTCGCCACTGGCATTCAACGTTGAACGTCGGCGGCGAGGTCGCCGCCAGTCGACACGACGCGAACCTTCCGTGCCTACTGAGGAAGCCAAACTGTGCCGATGCCGCTCCTCTTCGATCTCTCCTGGGGCGCGTCCCGACTAGGATTTCGAGGCGAGTCTGGCGGTGGCGACGGGGCCTCCCCCCCCCCCCTCTGCACTCGACCGTGCCCATTCGGACCGCGCCGAACGTCAAATCTTTTGTCGGGCGTGTCCCCCTACAGGGGGATTTTCGACGAAAAACAAAAAATACCCCAAAAAGGTCTCAAAATACTATAAAAACATAGTCCATGGACGATTTCTGGCGTATTTTTGGATTATTTTTGGTGTATTCTTTATTTTGCGTCGACAATCCCCCTGCAGGGGGACAGGCCCGACGTGAATCAAATCGGCCAGCGACCCCCCCCCCCACCTTCCGGGCGCAGCCGCCCCACGGGCGCCCTGGGGCGCTCGCCGCCGAGGCCGACACGGCGGCGAGCGCCAAGAAATTCGCACCTGGGCCGCAGTACCGGGGGCGGGGCCTGGGAGGAAACCCAGCTTCGCTGCGGAAACGAGCTTTGATATTCGACTTGAGCGAGCCGCGCAGCGTCTCCTCTTCGAAGCTGCCGCGAGCTGCCAAGAAATTCGCACCTGGGAGCGGGCAACACGCGGGCCGCACCTGGGCTGCGCGACCGACTGGGGGCGGGGCCCGGGAGGAAACGCTGCGCGACTCGCTCAAGTCGAAACATCAGAGCTCGTTTCCACAAGTGTGCACGCATACATTCGAACGGTGTGATGCACAGGGGACGGTTGGTGTGTGCTGCTGCTGCTGCTGCGCATCCGAAGCCTTGGGGCTCTGGCCCAGCAAGTCTTGAGGCAGGTGGCGAACACGCCACCGCTCGCAGGCCTCAAGGGAAAATTCGCCGGCCCAACGGGCCAGAGTGAGGGGCAGCGATAGGGGGGGGGCTGGCATAAGGGGGGATGCATCGACCTGGAATCGGCGATACATCGCCGATAGATCGGCGAGAGGCCTCCGATAGTGAATCCGCACCTTCCTGGGCAGGTTGGGGCTATCGGGCACGTATCGGCGATCAATGGTCGATTGGGGGTCGATGCATCCCCCCCTATGCCTATCCCCTCCCATCGTTGCCCCCGACAGAGGCGTGCTAAGATCTCCGGTGACTGGTCAAACATATTTCTAGCTCGCTCGCGCGAAGCGGCCCCTGGGGATTCCCAGACGAAGAGTTCCCTGGGAGAAGCCTTGCCAAGTCGGATCAGAGATGGCTTTCCTCGTGGGTGCGGCCTGAGCCCCAGAGCGCTCCCGGAGAAGCCCAAGAGCCCCCAAGACGGTCTTAAAGGGCTCCGAATTGTTGATCGATCCGTCCAAGACGCCTAAGATGGCCTCCAGACGGCCGAATACGCCGCCAAGACGCCCCAATAGGCCTCCTAGAGGGGTCCTATCAAAGACCCTTATAGGCAAACATGTTTCCAGGAGGTCCCCAAAATATCGTCAAGAGGCCCCCGGGAGGCCTCCCAAGGACCCCAAGACGCCTCCTACTACCCTCCCCGAACATGTTCAACTCGTATGCGGGCGGACCCAGGAGCCCGCAAGATTCGTCGTAGAGCGGGCCGAATGAAGTCCAACATCCTCGCACAAATGCCAACCCGCCCCCCCAGAAATTCCAACATAGCCGCAAACGGACCCCAAACAAGCATTCGAATGGCCCTACAGCGGAACTCCATGGGTGACAAGCCCAACTCCATGGGTGACAATCCCAACTCACGATGGTGCCACGTACCCATGACTGTCCCCAAACAAGCCCCCTAGAAACAACTACAGTATGAAGGAACTGCTCCACCTCCAAGACTGCTGACGTAACGCCGCTGGAAACCGACCACCGCCCAGCAGCGCAACATTGACAACGAATGCGCGGGCAAAAGCAAGCGATGCCACATTATAGGCCGGCGAAATGAGCGAAACGATGAAATCCGCCAACCCTGTCGGCTTGTGTGAGACGCTCTTCCGTTTGTCGTCGTCGTCGTCGTCGTCGTCGTCGTCGTCGCTGTCGTCGTAGTCGTCGTCGCTATCCTCCTCCTTCCCGGGGTCTCCTGACCAACACCCGGAGCGAGAGGGGACGTGCAGCTCTCGACCAACACTCCAACCCCTACGACATCGATCAGTGTCCTAAACATATTGAATGGGAACCCCTTCCCTTTGATCCCTTCCCGCTCGGGGAGTCCCGGGGTGTCGTGACCCCCACCCCTGCAGGCGGTCCCCCCCCTGTGGAGCAGGAGGACAAAGGGGTGGTCTCAGGCAGGGGAGCCCCTCTCGCCTTGGCCCCAGCCCCAACCCCGGGGTCCTGGCCCTGGCCCCGGTCAGGGTCCAGGCAACGGCCCCCGACTCCGGAGCCGGCCCCAGCCCCGGCCCTGGGCCAGGCCCCAGCCTCGGCCCTGGCCTCGGCCCTGGCTTGGGCTCCAGCCCTGACCCCGGACCAGGCCCCAGCCCCGGCCCGCCCCCGAAGAGACAGACGGCTCTCCTCCTCCTCCTCCTCCTCCTCCTCCTCCTCCTCCTCCTCCTCCTCCTCCCCTCCTACCTCCTCCTCCTCCCCTCCTCCCCCCCCCTCCCCCCCTCCCCCCTCCTCCTCCTCCTACTCCTGCTACTCCTCCTTCTCGTCCTCCTCCTCGTCCTCCTCCTCCTCCTCCTCCTCCTCCTCCTCTGCCTCCTCCTCATCCTCATCCTCATCCTCCTCCTCATCCTCCTCCTCCTCCTATTCCTCCTCTTCCTCCTCCTTCTCCTCCTCGTCCTCCCTCCACCGCCTGCCCCATGTCCCGAGCCTGTGGCAGGGTCATCAGCTCGTCGTGTTCGCTGTCGTCGTGGTCGTCGTCGTCCTTCTAGGCCGGCGGTGTCGGCCGCACGGCCTTCACAATAATCACGCTTTGGCCCTTCTCGCCCACTTGTTTCGAGGAGTTGAGCATCGGCTAGGCGATCGATATGTTATGCCTGCCCCTGCTCGCGCCCCGACCCCACGAGGAGCCAGAGTGGGGGCATCTATACATTCCTGGCCTCTGAAGCGAAGCCACGTTTCGCACAGTCGGGCCGCGGAAATAAGGAACGCTAAATAACGAACAACACCCTTTTTTTCTGGCCCCAGAAAAGCCGGGGTGCACGAGGAGGGCTAGAGGATCAGCCATGGAAGGATCCAAGGAGCATCGAGCCCCTTTCGAACCCAACTTGTTCCTCATGTCAGCGTCTTGATTGTATCCATGCCCTGCTTCCCCTGCCGCCCAAAGCGGGGGGGAAGCAGCCAGGGGTATTGATTCAACGTTGATCGCCGATCGGCGGTTCAAACATGGGTCGGAGGTTGGCACAACCCCCGCAATGCCACGTCGACTCCTCCCTCCATTCTCGGGAGGGCGTTGCGGCCGTAGATGCTGCGGGCCTGCGCCCGCAAAAACGTGATCGACCCACGAACCCGGAAACGAAGATAGAAATGTGATGCGTGGAAGCGTTTTCAAGACATCTGATTGGCCGACGGGCAATTGCAGTGCTGAGTGAATCGCTCTTGATGTACTGTGCCAAAGGCTTTGCTGTGCTGCGCCATGCTGAACTGCGATGCGCCATGCCGCGACTGTGCTCTATATAGCGTTGTGGATCGCATCCTCCTCTGCATCCGAATCTTGGCCGAGCTGATCTGGATCTTGAGCTCGAGCTGCCAGACCACGTATAGTAGCTGCCCAAGAGCTGGTGGAAGTGGCAACGTGCGGGACATTCAAATCAACTCGGCCTCACCCCTCCTTCTCCTCCTTGTCGTTCCCTCCTCCTCCTCCCTCCTCCTCCCTCCTTGTCGTTCCCCTCCTCCTCCTCCTCCTCCTCCTCCTCCTCCTCCGAAAAAAAACGGCACGACACGGGGCGCGGGCTCTCACGGACGCGCGCCACGGGATGTGCCATGGGGCGCCGTAACGGGGATGCGTCGGGTGGCGTGTCAGGGGACGTATCAAAGGGACGTGCCCTGGACGTGTCGTGCACCTGCCACCGGGACGTGCCAGGGCGCGTGCCATGGGGCCAGGAGAGCCCAGGATCGGGTCGACAGGTCGGATCGGCGATCGACATGAATCGGATCGTCGGAAATCGGCAGCTGAGTCGGGAAGAGTCGGATCGGCAGAAATCGGCAACCTAGTATGCCTCCAAAAAGAAATCGGAACTCAAATCGGAATCCCAGATCGAATCGAATCGGAATCGGAAACCATCGAAATCGAATCGAATCGAATCGGAGGAATCGAAACGAGCCCTGTGGGGCGGCCAGAGGACGTCATGCCATAGAGCGTTGCAAGGAACGTGCCACGGAACGGGCAGGGAAAACGCCCGGGGACGAGCCAGGAAACGCGACAGAGAACGAGCCAGGGAACGTGCCACGCCGAGTGGCGTGCTAGGGGACGTGCCAGGGCACGTCACGCCAGAACGTCGCAAGGGACGCGCCAGGGGACGCCCCACGGACGGGCGGGGTTGGACTGCGATGCACTCTACTGCGACAACCGTTTTGCTCGAGATATCCTCAACAAATCCTCATGTTAGACATCCGTCTGGGCGACCAGGGCACGTGAAAACAAGCGTCTCGCTCGAGGCATCCTCAACACATCCTCATGTTAGACATCCACCTGGGCGGCCTGGACACGTGAAACCAAGCGTCTCGCTCGAGACGTTCTCAACATCTCCTCATGCTAGACATCCGCCTGGGCAGCCTGGACGCGTGAAAATAAGCGTTTCGCTCGAGACAATCCTGCCCCAATTCTCCTCCTCCTCCTCCTCTTTTCCCTCCTCGCGCGCGCCGCGCGGAGGTGCGCCCGGCGGGCGGAGGCACGGCCGGCGCCACCGCCGCCGCCGCTGCCGCCGCCGCCGCCGCCGCCGTCGTCGTCGCCGTCGTCGTCGTCGCCGTCGTCGTCGTCGTCGTCGTCGTCGTCGTCGTCGTCGTCGTCGTCGTCGTCCTCGAAGAAGAACAAAGAGGACCAGAATAATCGAGGACGGAGGAGGCAACAGAGCCGAGAAGATCACCAAATCCGCAGCCTCCCCAGATCGGCGGCACTGGCCGGAGGCCATTACAATAAGCGTTTCGCTCGAGACAATCCTGCTCCAATTCTCATCATTAGACATCCGCCTGGGAGACCTGCACACGTGACAACAAACATCTCGCTCAACACATCTTCAACACATCCTCATGCTCAACATCTGCTTGGGCGACCTGGACACGTGAAAGCAAACGTTTCGCTCAACACATATTTAACATGTCCTCATGTTAGACATCCGCCTGGGCTACCTGGGCACGTGAAAACAAGCGTTTCGCTCAACACATCCTCATGCTAGACATCCGCCTGGGCGACCTTGACACGTGAACGCGAGCGTCTCGCTCGAGACATCCTCAACACATCTTTATATTAGACATCCAGCTGGGCCACCTGGGCACGTGGAAACAGGCGTTTCGCTCGAGACGTTCTCAACAAGTCCTCATGTTAGACATCTGCCTAGGCGACCTGGACGCGTGAAAACGAGTGTCTCGCTCGAGACATCCTTAACCCATCCTCATGCTAGACATTTGCCTGGGCAACGTGGACGCGTGAACGAAAAAGCGTCGCGCTCGAGACATCCTCAAGACCCTGGCACGTGAAAACAAGCACATCACCTGAGACATCCTCTGAATTCTGGTCCCCAGGAGAGGAACCATCTATAACACAAAACAAGCGCTTCGCTCGAGACATTCTCAACACATTCTGCAAAACAAGCGTTTCGCTCGAGAGATCCGCAACAAACGAACATGTGTACTTTACCATGTGTTTCAACGCTCGGAATCTGAAAAACCAACATTTCGCTGGGGACATCTTCAACTTTGTAATTCGCTGGCCCTTCTCGACCTTGTTATTTATCGCATAATAATTTCGCCGTCCCTACGCAAGTCCAGGCCCGGCACTAAATTTACCTACAAAACATGATCGACCCACGAACCCGGAAAATAATCTAGATATGTAAGCCGTAGCAACGTTTCAAAGACACCTGATTGGGCGATGGCAAATGCAATGCTGAGTGTATCGATCTTGATGTACCGAGCCGACGGCTGTGCTGTGCTACGCCGTGCTGAACTGCGATGTGCCATGCCGCGATTGTGTTCTATATAGCGTTGTGGATCGAGTCCTCCCTGGCATCCGAGTCCTGACCGAACTGATCTGGATCTTAAGCTCGAGCTGCCTGAGCAGATGGTAGCTGCCCCAGAACTAATCGACAGAGGGGACATGCCAGGAGGACGCGCCGCGGAACGTCCCAAGGGACGCGCCAGGCGACGTGCCAGGGGACGTGCCATGGGCACGCACCGCGGGACGTGCCAAGGGGACGCGCTACGGAACGTGCCAATGGACGTGCCGCGGGACGTGCCAAGGGACGCGCCGCGCTACGTGCCAGGTGGATTCGCCACGGAACGCGCCAAGGAACGTGCCAAGGTGCATTGTTGAGTGTATCGATCTTGGTGTACCGTGCCGACGGCTATGCTGTGCTACGCCGTGCTGAACTGCGATGTGCCATGGCGCGATTGTGCTCTATATAGCGTTGTGGATCGAGTCCTATTTGCATCCGAGTCCTGACCGAACTGATCTGGATCTTAAGCTCGAGCTGCCTGAGCAGAGGGTAGCTGCCCCAGAACTAATCGACAGGGGGACATGCCAGGAGGACGCGCTCACGAACGTCCCAAGGGACGCGCCAAGCGACGTGCCAGGGGACGTGCCATGGGCACGCACCGCGGGACGTTCCAAAGGGACGCGCTACGGAACGTGCCAGTGGACGTGCACCGCGCGACGTGCCAAGGGGACTCGCCGCGGGACGCTCCGCGGAACGTGCCAGGCAACATGCCAAGCTGCAATGCTAAGGGTATCGATATTAATGTACCGTGCCGAGGGCTGTGCTGTGCCTGGGCGACCTGGACACGTGAAAACACGCGTTTCGCTCAAGACGTTCTCAGCACATCTTCATGTTAGACATCCGCCTGGGCAACCTGGACACGTGCAAACAAGCGTCTCGATCGAGACTTCCTCGACACATCCTCATGCTAGACATCCGCCTGGGCGACCTGGACACGTGAAAACAAGCCTCTGGCTCGAGACATACTCAACACATCCTCATGCTAGACATCTGTCTGGGCAACCTGGAGGCGTGAAACCAAGCGTCCGCTCGAGACATCCTCAAGACCTGGACACGTGAAAACAAGCATTTCACTTGAGAGATCCTCTGAATTCAGCTCCCCAGGAGAGGACACTCTATAACACAAAACAAGCGTTTCGCTCGAGACATCCTCGACAAATTCTGAAACGCAAGCGTTTCGCTCGAGACATCCTACAACAATTCGCCGGCCGTACGCGACCTCGTTATTTATCGCAAACAAAAATCGCCGGCCCTACAGCCGTCAGAACCAGGGGTCACACACACACACTAAAGAGAAGCCTGGGCCCGAGCCCTTTCTGGAACATGATCGACCCACGAACCCGGAAAGGAATATAGAAATGTAAGGCATGGCAACGTTTCAAAGACACCTGATTGGGCGACGGTAAATGCAATGCTGAGTGTATCGATCTTGATGTACCGAGCCGACGGCTGTGCTGTGCTACGCCGTGCTGAACTGCGATGTGCTATGCCGCGATTGTGTTCTATATAGCGTTCTGGATCGAGTCCTCCCTGGCATCCGAGTCCTAACCGAACTGATCTGAATCTTAAGCTCGAGCTGCCTGAGCAGATGGTAGCTGCCCCAGAACTAATCGACAAAGGGGACATGCCAGGAGGACGCGCCGCGGAACGTCCCAAGGGACGCGCCAGGCGACGTGCCAGGGGACGTGCCATGGGCACGCACCGCGGGACGTGCCAAGGGGACGCGCTACGGAACGTGCCAATGGACGTGCCGCGAGACGTGCCAGGGGACGCGCCGCGCGACGTGCCAGGGGGACTCGCCACGGAACGCGCCAAGGAACGTGCCACGATGCAATGTTGAGTGTATCGATCTTGATGTACCGTGCCGACGGCTGTGCTGTGCTGGGCCGCGTTGAACTGCGATGTGCCATGCCGCGATTGTGTTCTATATAGCGTTGTGGATCGAGTCCTCTTTGCATCCGAGTCCCGACCGAACTGATCTGGATCTTAAGCTCGAGCTGTCTGAGCAGATGGTAGCTGCCCCAGAACTAATCGACAGGGTGACATGCCAAGAGGACGCGCCGTGAAACGTCCCAAGGGACGCGCCAGGCGACGTGCCAGGGGACGTGCCATGGGCACGCACCGCGGGACGTGCCAAGGGGACGCGATGTGCCATGCCGCGATTGTACTCTATATAGCGTTGTGGATCGAGTCCTCTTTGCATCCGAGTCCTGACCGAACTGATCTGGATCTTAAGCTCGAGCTGCCTGAGCAGATGGTAGCTGCCCCAGAACTAATCGACAGAGGAGACATGCCAAGAGGACGCGCCGTGAAACGTCGCAAGGGACGCGCCAGGCGACGTGCCAGGGGACGTGCCATGGGCACGCACCGCGGGACGTGCCAAAGGGACGCGCTACGGAACGTGCCAATGGACGTGCACCGCGCGACGTGCCGAGGGGACTCACCACGGGACGCTCCGCGGAATGTGCCAAACAACATGCCAGGCTGCAATGCTAAGGGTATCGATATTGATGTACCGTGCCGAGGGCTATGCTGTGCCTGGGCGACGTGGACACGTGAAAACACGCGTTTCGCTCAAGACGTTCTCAGCACATCCTCATGCTAGACATCCGCCTGGGCAACCTGGACACGTGCAAACAAGCGTCTCGATCGAGACTTCCTCGACACATCCTCATGCTAGGCATCAGTCTGGCCGACCTGGACACGTGAAAACAAGCCTCTGGTTCGAGACATCCTCAACAAATCCTCATGCTAGACATCTGTCTGGGCAACCTGGAGGCGTGAAACCAAGCGTCTCGCTCGAGACATCCTCAAGACCTGGACACGTGAAAGCAAGCACTTCACTTGAGAGATCCTCTGAATTCAGCTCCCCAGGAGAGGACAATCTATAACACAAAACAAGCGTTTCGCTCGAGACATCCTCGACAAATTCTGAACAACAAGGTTTCGCTCGAAACATCTCAAACAATAATTTCGCCGGCCGTACGCGACCTCGTTATTTATCGCAGAATAATTTCGCCGGCCCTACAGCCGTCAGAACCAAGGGTCACACGCACTAAAGAGAACCCTGGGCCCGAGCCCTTTCTGGGAAAAAGAATCCTGGGCCGGCGCCCTTTCCGGGAAACAAGCAGTTTCGTTCCCATAATGAGCGATGAGAGCGCGGGGTCTGACGCCAGATGACACAGCGACCTTACGCCGCGGCTTGCGCGCACCACCCGTGCGGCACGCTGCCCTGGAAGCGAGGGCGCTTGCGCGCCACCCTACGCGAGCAGCTCCCGCGATGTCGGCGAAGACGACCCGCGCTTGCTTGGTCGCTCGCGTGTCGTTCCTTGCTCCAGCAGCCCGACTGTGCACCCCCGGACACTGGGGCGGGTCCTCGGGGGAGCCCGCTGCGGGAGCACCGCCGAGGATGTCGTAGAACACCTCCGTCTGCAGCGCAAACGCCGCCGCGAAGCCTGTGCGCCCGTCGCCCTCTGGCGGGCCCCCCTCGTCATCGTCGTCTCCTCTTCGTCCCCCTCCTCTTCTCTCCTACTCTCTTCTCCTCCTCCACCTCCTCATCACATATTGAACAAGGTATCGGCAAATAGTAAGTCCGGTCTATAGACAGGCCAACGGATAGATGTAATGGTTGTCTCAATGGTTGACCCGATCGATTGATCGTGAGACCCACATCGATTGATAGTGAACACGGAAAATGCGTGAATAACTAAATTGATATACTGGCATATTCAGACATACAGGCACATACATATACATATACACATACACATACACCAACACATATATATACACACATATGAACATCGATATCCATGTACATATAGAAACGTATGTATATCTGCATATATATAGCATGCAACATCATGCCTGACCAGGGGGATCCTGGGCCTTGGTCTGATGAGCACCCAATCCTCCCTGGCCGAGGCCAGGAGGGTCGATACACTATCGTATGGTTCCCGATGGTCCTGGCTCCTGGCCAGGAATGGTGGTGGCTGTGGTGTGGAGTTGCCTTTTGCGGATGCGGAGTCCTCCATGTGATGTCTGCTGGCTGGTTCCCACGCGTTTATGACAAACTACCAACAGTGTCTGCATCCGAACTCATGACTCCTGACAAGTCGTGTCCGAGCCCTTCGAGGCGCGGTGCGTGGGAGCCTGAGAGCTGTATGAACGCGGTCACGGCGGTGGAGGCTCCGAAGACGAGCGAGTACGACATCGCCGCAATGGGGCCTGCATCTGAGCCAAATGCTGCCTGACGCTGCAGATGCCGATGCTAGCGTTGTGACCGCTCAGAGTTATAGCTGCTGATATCAGGATGAAAAGGAAGAATTGAGCGAACCATCATTGGCAACTCAATACATGACCATGTACAGCAGTTATCGACATGCCCATGTACGAGTTTTCATATACCAAACAATGCTTTGCTGCATTCTCATTTCGCTGAACATTTCTCGCTATAACTGTACTGTAACTGCTACAATCAACAATTATTCCCGGCAGGCATGCTGTAGTTGCGACTTGGCGGACGCATGGTGGTCGACTATAGTAGAACGGGCTCGGAGTCTCAGAAAAGATTTGGCATACTGAATTCCCAAAATTAAGCGGATTCCGACCACAAAGTAATTCAAATCAGAATTGCAAGAGAACTTAGTTGGAAAGGAATTCGTACATGGAAACCCAAGGGTAAACATGATTTTTCACATTGAAATCCAGAATTAGAAAGGATTCCGAATCACCACAGAAAAAGTCAAGTTAGGATTGCCAGATAGTCGAGTTGGAGAGGAATTCGCAAATGGAAGTCGAAGGTTAACACATATTCTACACATTGAAGTCCAGAGTCAGAAAGGATTCCGAACCCCCGAGATTTTCAAATCAGAATGGCAAGATAATTTTAGTTGGAAAGGGATTTACACATTGAAACCCAGTTAGACAGGATTCAATCTATTAGAATACAGAGTTAGACAGGATTCCGAAGAACAGAGAAATTCAAATCAGAATGGCCAGATAATTGAGTTGGAGAGGAATTTACACACTGGAACCCAGAGTTAGACAGGATTAAACCTATTTGAATATTGATTTGAAAGGGTTCCGAAACACAGAGAAAGTCGAATTATAATTGCCATATAATTGAGTTGGAGAGGAAATTGCAAATTGAAATCCAGTATGACAAATGATTTTACACAATGAAATCCAGAGTTAGAAGGGATTCAGAACCACCGAGAAACTGAGTCAGAATTGCCAGAACACCGAATTCGAGAGGAAATTGCATATTGAAATCCAGAGAATCTCTGAAATAATGTTATCCAGAGTTTGAAACGATTTCAAATCGCATATTGGAATCCAAAAGGTAGTACATATTCCAAATCACAAAGACATTCAAATCAGAATTGCTTGAGAACTTGGCTGGAGAAGAAACTCACACATTGAAATACATTCGAGAATATTTGACACAAAAAACATAATCGACCCACGAGCCGGGAAAGGGATTGAGAACTGCGAGGCATGGATCAATTTCTAAGGACCTCAATTGCATATGCAATTGGGCGACTCCAGGGGGGCATGCCAGGGGGACGCGCCGACTCGCCGCGGAACCGCCCACGGGACGCGCCGGCGGACGTGCCAGGGGACGTGCCACGGGGACGCACCGCGAGACGTGCCAAGGGAACGCGCTACGGAACGCGCCAATGGACGTGCCACGAGCGCGTTTCCTTGTCATCGGCGACGGCGGGCGTCATTGGGGGGGGCGGAGGGGGGCATGACAGAAAGCCCCCCCCCTCCGCCGTGCGGCTCTGGCACCACAGCCGCGCCCGCGGGCACGACAACGATGAGCGACGAGCGACGAGCGACGACGACGCGAGCAGCATGTAGGTGGCGATCTGCCCCACAGCGCCTGTGTACACCACAGTGCTCGCGTGCACCACAGCGCTTGTGCCTGCGCACACCGCAACAGCCGTGTGCAACGCTGCGCGTGTGTACACCACAGTGCTTGCGTGCACCACAGTGCCGGTGTACACCACAGCGAATGTGTACACCTCAGCAGCCATGTGCAACACAGCGCCTGTCTACACCACAATGCTTGCGTGCACCACAGCGCCTGTGCACACCACAGCGCCTGTCTACACCAAAGCATCCGCGTGCAAAAGACAAGTAGAAGGAGCATGTCGGTGAGGATCTGCTGCGGACAGCTAAACGCCACGTTAGGGAAGTGCTGAGAATAGAATGCGACGTTTCTCCCTCTTCCCTCCTCCACCTCCGCCTCCTCCTTTTCCTCCTCGTCCTCCTCCTCCTCCTCGTCCTCCTCCTCCTCCCTGACCCTTCCCCCCTGTCGTGCGGGTCGGCACTACAGCGCACGTGCGCGTTTCAGCGTGCACCGCAGAATGATCTATTCACTGGTGCCGTGCTGAGTGCACGCAGTCATTGTGGCGTACATTTGTGCTGTGTTGCACACGGCTGATGTGGTGTACACAAGCGCTGTGGTGCCAGCAGGCACTGTGGCACACACTGGCGCTGTGATGCACGCGGCTGCTGTGGTGTACATAGGCGGTGTGGTGTACACAGGCGCTGTGGTGCACGCGGGCACTATGGTGTACACAGGCGTTGTGGTGCAGATCGCCACCGACATGCTGCTGCTACCCGTCCTCGGTGATTGCTAAGCATTCCCAGACGCCGCCGGCGCGAAACGTGTCGTCATCGGCCCCCTCCACCCCCCCAAATGACTGCCGCCATTGGCCCGGAATAAAAAGCAGGCTCCAGCTGCGTCCGCGCGCACGGCGACGATGAGCGACGAGCGACAACGACGACGACGACTGCGGACCAGACTCCTATGCGGATTCCTATGCGGACACCTATGCGGATCACGATGCGCACGGCGGCAATGCACGGAACGCACCGGGGGGGAGAGTTACGTTATAGTGGTGGTGGGGGGGGGCGGGGGCCATGATGCCCGTCATGCCCCAAGCAATAAAGGAACGGGCCCCACGGGACGCGCCAATGGCCGCGCCGCGCGACGTGCCAGGGGGACTCGCTACGGGACACGCCACGGAACATGCGAGGGAACGTATCAGGCGACGCGCCAGGGGACGCGCCAAGGAGCGCGTCAGGGAACGTGCCACGGGACGTGGCACAGGACCGCGCTCTCAAACAAGCTCCTTTTTCTGCTCCAGACATGATCGACCCGCGAACCCAGAAAGGGATGTAGAAATATGAAGCATGGAAACGTTTCAAAGCACCTCAATTGGGAGATGGGCAGTGGCAATGCTGAAAATATCGATGGTGCCACTACTGCACCAAGGGCTGTGTCGTGCTGCGCTGCGAAGTGCCGTGCCGCAGAGGGGACGCGCCCAGGGACGCGCCAGGGGGCGCGCCGCGGGACATGCCACGGGGACGCGCCGCAGAACGTCCGAAAAGACGCGCCAGGGGACGTGCCACGGGACGCAACGCGCGGCGTGCCAGGGGGACGCGCCACGGAACGTGCCCGGGGACGTGTCAGGGGACGCGCCACGCGAAGCGCCAGGGGGACACGCCATGGAGCCGTGGAACGTGACAGAGAACGTGCCATGCGACGCGCCAACGGACGTACCAACTCCCGCGCCGGGGAGGCCCCCGGAAGCCCGACACCACGCGAAAACTCCCGCCCGGGAAGGCAAGCCCTGCCTCCCCTGCCCGGGGAAAGCCCCCCTCCCGCGAGGGGAGCCTCCCGGAGGCCCGACGCCGCGCGAAGATTTCCCGGAGGCCTTACGCCACGCGAAAACTCCCGCCTGGGAAGGGAAGCCCCCTGAAGCCCGACACCACGCGAAACCTCTCGCCGGGGAGGGGGAACCCCTCGAGGCCCGACGCCACGCGAAAACTCCTGCCCAGGGAAGCCCCCAGAAGCCCTACACCACGCGAGAACTCCCGCCCCGGGGAGGTCCCCTGACGCCCGACAGCACGCGAAAATCTATCTCCAGAGCAGAAGCCAATACTTTTCTGCATGGGGACATGTACTCGGAAGGCGCTTTTCGGTCTCCCCGCCATTTCCTGAAAATCAGGCGCTGGACCCGAAGCCGCGAATCCTTGTAAATTATACTGCGTCCGCGCGCCCAAGGCCGCGATCCCTAATACATTACACCTGAGAAAACCCCAATCAGTGGATGATTTGAACATTTATACTATAGATCTTGAGATCGATTGTGAGATCGATAATGAGATCGATAGTGGAGTGGATAATGAGGACGATTGTAAGATCGTGAGATCGATAGTGAGATCGATCGTGAGATCGCTCATGCGATCTCTAGTGAGATCGCTTGTGAGATCGATAATGAGATCGATTGTGAGATCGATGGTGAGATCAATAGAGAAAAGGGTAATGAGATCGATGGTGAGACCGATCGATAAGAAGATCGACCAAAAACCAAAGAACCCGTGAACCTCGCCGCCCTCCGAAATCGGCCCGGAACCCAGCACCGTGAACCCACGAACCCAGAACCGGGAACCCAGGACCCCAGCGTGCGACCAAAATCGGCGGGACACTTTCGCCAAATCCTTCAACTTCTGCGAGGACCCCTTCAATGCAAGCACTGATTGGGGAATTACGTTCGATTTGCGCTCTCAAGGCCACAATGGTTTTAAACTACGCTGGGATCGCGCTCACAGGGCCGCGATCGCGATCCCTTGCATATTACTCGGGATTCACGCTCCCAAAGTCCCGATTTCTTGTAAGTCACACGGGTTTCGCGCTCCCAGTGCCAAGATTCCTCGCGAATTTCTCTGGATTCGCGGTCCCAGGGCGAACATCCGTTGTAAATCACGCGGGATTCATGCTCCCAGGGCCAAGATCCATTGTAAGTTCGCTGCGTCCGCGCTCCCAGTGCCAAGATCCCCCATACATAACGCTGTGTCCGCGCCCCCAGGGTCGCGAAGCACCGCGCGGAGGTTGCCCAAAAGGGCCCCGCTCTCTAAAGCAGACGCCAATACTTTTTCCTATATTGAGATCTGTGCTCGGGGGGCGCGTTTCGCCTCCCCCGCCGCCGCGAATCGTCGTAAATTGCACTGCGTCTGCGGGTCCAAGGCCGCGATCCTTCGCAATTTACACTGGAATCGCGCCCTAAAGGCTACAATCCCTCGTACATTACAGTCGATTCGCGCTCACAGGGCCGCGACCCCTCGCAAATTGTGCGGCTTTCACGCTTCCAGGGCCACGATCCCTTGTCATTTACGCTGGATGCACGCTTTCAGGGCCACGATCCCTTCTACATTACGCTGGTTTCGCGCTCCCAGTGCTAATATCCATGGTAAATTAAACTTGATTTGCGCTCCCAGTGCCAAGATCAATTGTAAATTACGGCGGATGCGCGCTCCCAGGGCCACGATCCTTTGTAAATTACATTGGTTTCGCGCTCCGTGCCAAGATTCATCATGAATTGCATCGGATTCGCGCTCCCCAAGGCGAAGATCCCTTGCAAATCGCACGGAACTCGCGCTCCCAAGGCCCCGATCCCTGAAGAATTGCAGTGCGCCCGCGCTCCCGGGGCCACGCTCCCTCGCAAATCACGCTGCGGCCGCGCTCCCGAGGCTACGATCCCTTTGTAAATTATGCTGCGTCCGCACCCCGAGAGCCCGCTGGGGCATCCTCGGGCGTTCAGGCTCCTGGACGTATCCAAAGCAAACGCTTCGCTCGAAGCATCCTCAACCAATTCTGCAAACCGAGCGTTTCGCTCCGGACATCCGCAACGAACGAAACATCTCATTTTACCTCGATATCCATCGAGCGGAGATTCAAAAACCAACGTTTCACTCGAGACGTCCTCAACATTCAATTCCGTCGGCCCCACGCGACCTCATTATGTATTGCAAAAAGATTCCGCTGCCCCGCGCAAGTCAAAACCGGGGGTAAACCTTTAAAAGGAAACCCCGGGCCCGGGCCCCTTCTGGGAGAGCTGCAGCCTGCTGTCCCCCCCCCCACAGCCCCCACAGACACCGCGGAACCAGAAAGGGGCAGCGCACGGCGGACCCGTGCACGAAGCCATTACGCCGGGACCGCGCCTCCAAGGCCACGACCTCTCGCACACTACGCTGCGTCCGCCCTCTCTCCCTGGGCTTACGATCGCTCGCAGACCGCTCTGCGCCCGCGCTCCCGAGGCGGCGATCCACGGCAGACCGCGCGGCGTCCGCGCTGCCAGGGCCGCGGTGCCCCTCGCAGACTCTGCGGGAGCCGCGCTCTCGAGGCCGCGGCTCCTCGAACACCGCGCCGAGGCTCGCGCCCCCGGGGCGGCGAGCCCTCGGAGAGGACTCGGCAGTCGGGCTGCAGGGCGACGGTCCCTCGTGGAGTGCACTGGGCTCGCGCTCCGAGGGCCACGAGCCCTCGTTGGCTACGCTGGGTTCGCGCTCTCGGGGCCAGATCCCTGGAACAGTACGCTTCGTCCGCGCCTCCAGGGCCACGATCCCTCGTCGATGACGCTGTGTCTGCCCCCCCCCAGGGCCAAGATCCATGGTAACTTGCGCTGCCTTCGCGCTCCCAGGGCCACGATCCTTGGTAAAGTACGCTGCGTCCGCGCTCCCAGGGCCACGATGCCTCGTCAAGTACGCTGCTTCCGCTCTCCAACAGCTACGCTCCCTGTTGAATTTCGTTGTGTCCGCGCTCCCAAAGCCACATCCCTGGGAAAATTATATTGTTTTCGGGCTCCCAAAACCACCTGGGCACCTAGGCCGCCCTTTCCGGGAAACAGCGAATTCCGAATCGCAGAGCAATTCGAATCAGAGTGGCATGATACTTGAGTTGAAGAGGCATTCACATAAGGACATCCAAATGTAGACAGGATCTTGCATACTCAAACGCAAAATCAGAACGGATTCAGATACATAGCATCACTTTAAATACTGGAGCTCACTATGTAAATTCCTTCCTAACTCAAATTCTAGGCAATGGTGATTTGAATTTCGAGTGATTCGGAATCCTTTCTAACTCTGTATTCTAATGTGCAAAAGCGTTTCCCATTCTGGATTTCAATATGTCAATTCCTCTGCAGTTTAAGATTCTGACAATTCGGATTTGAATTTCTCTGTGATTCGGAATCTTTTCTATCCCTGGATCATAATATGTTCTAACTCTGGGCTTAAGTGTGCAATTTCCTGTCAAACCCAATGATTTGGCCATTCTGACTTGAATTACCCTGAGATTCGGAATCCTCTGTAACTCTGGACATTCGATGGTTTGATTTTTTCTAACTGCAAATATCAATATGCAAATTTCTCTCCAACTCAATTCTCTGGCAATTCTAATTTGAAATTCCATGCGTTTCGAAAAAAAACCTTTCTAACTCTTGACTTTTATATGTGAACTCTCTAACCCAACTCTTTAAAAATTCTGCTCTGAATTTCTGTGATCCGGAATTCTATCTGACTCTGGATTTTCACATGTGAACTTCTAAATCTAGATTTCAATATCTACATTCCTCTCCAACTCAATTCTCTGGCAATTCTGACGTTCATTTGTCTGTGATTCGGAATCATCTCTAACTCTGGATGAGATCGAAAAATCTGTTCCGGTCTCAATATGTGAATTTCTTTCCAATCAATTCTCAGCCACTTCTGATTTGAGTGTCTCTGTGATCCAGAATCCTGTCAAACTGTGGGTTATAATGTGTAAGATCCTTTCTAATTCTGGATTTCACTATGTAGATCCCTCTCCAATTGAAACCGCTGGCAGTTATGATTTCAATTTCTCTGCGATTTGGAATCCTAACTCTGGATACTAATACGTGGAATCCTTTCTAAATCTGGATTCCAATATGTCAATACCTCTCCAACTCAACTAGCTGGCCATTCTAATCTGAATTTCTCGGTGTTTCGAAATCGTTTCCAACTCTTACTTTTCGTGAGCAACATCCGTTTTCACTCTGGATTGCAATGTGCAGAATCTACTCCGGCTCAACTATATGGTAATTTTGATTTGAGTTCCCTGTGACTCGGAATCCTTCTGAACCCTCGACTTTGCACACGTAACATCGGTTATAATTCTGAATGTCGCTGTGATTCGGAATCCTCTCTAGCTGCTGGTGCCTCTTATTTTATACTATTTCGAACTTAATTGTGATGCAGCGTCTTATGTAGCTGTGAACTCCTTTTAGCCCTGCCAGTGTTTACACGACATGCTCTCTAGCTCAATCTTAGTCTCTCAAGGGCGTCCGCGCGCGGGCCTACATGATTAATGCCCGTTCGAATTCTTGCTGTAACTGCCTACAAGGTGCGCTACAACAATTAATTCCTAACTTAATTCATGCTGTCCTGTAGCGGAAGCATGTCTGGTACTTGTATACCCAAGTGACCGCATAGCATCACATCCATGAGACTGTACACGCTTAACTGCACATACCAATACATATATATATATATATGTATATGTATACATATATACACATATATATACACATTTATATACATGTATATACACGTATATATAATTATATCCTGGTCTCCGTAGTCATACCACACGTCCGTATATTCTGCGCACGCTTGCTTCATAACACGTTTCTAAAACGCCGGATGAGCATGAGGCGAATCAACAATGGGGGACGGGGGGAACATTGACCTGGATCGGCGATGCTTCGCTGACAGATCGGAGATGGACCTAAGCCCCGATTGGCGATGACGGTCGATGCTCTCCCTCTTGGCTGGCGTCTGCACGCTTGTGCGACCGAAAATTGCGCTAAAAACGTGATCGACCCACGAACCCGGAAAGGAATATAGAACTGTAAGGCATGGCAACGTTTCCAAGACACCT